TGATGCGCGCAGGTTCATAATATATATATATATATATATTGCAGTATACTACAAATTATGCGTCTGAGATATATATATATATATATATATATATATATATATATATATATATATATATATATATATATGTGTGTGTGTGTGTGTATCTCAGACGCATAATTTCTAGTATACTGCAATAATCTATCCATGTCTATCGTACGCTATTTATAGGGTTTTGTGTACCCTCTTTTTCTGTGTTTTTTTTTTTGCTTTCCTTTTGTTGTGGTTTTGCACACGTGTGCGAACTCTGCAGCTGCCGTCATCCCAGGCTTTTTGCTGCGGCATACCACACTCGAAGCATATTTTAATATAAACACAAATTTTAATTAGAGTATACGCTTCGAGCTGCGTTCTTTGTTTAATAAAATGCGTAACTACCGTACGCATATTGAATTGAGCTGTGCCAAAAAATGGCGCTGCCAAATTTTTTTGTTTAGAAAAATGTTTACATACCCTATTTGGTTTATTAAAACTCTTTGCTGGGCTCGTTGGTTCATGGTACTGAGTAAACTCGTATGCGCCAACACAGAGGACGAACGCGAAGACACGGACAAGAACACGTGCATACTGTTGACTCAGTTTTATTTTGTTCTCGTCATATTTCTTCTGCGCATCATCTGCGGGAAACAAAGCCGTAGGCTGGTTCAGCGACCGATATTTGCGTAAAGCTATGGTCGCTCAAAGATATTGTGGGAGAGAACGAGCCACGCTGAACGTGGATGGACGGCCCCGTGAGCGGCGAGGAAGAAGAGAAAGGGACGCTCGTGGTAGGTGCGCGTGGACAGAGTTCGAGGGGCCGGGACGAACGAAAGAGGCGGTGCTGAACGAGCCCAGGCAAGACCCGGACCCCAGGGCAACCGTGGCCTTCCACAGCATCGACGGCACAATTTGAGTATTTATAAAGTGTTTGTCTATGATAACGCTCCTTGTGTGACTTCCTCGGAGCGAGTAGAACTTGGCCTGATCGGGAATTGGCAGGCGACCCACATAACTGGCGCCCAACGTGGGGCCAGTTATGTGGGTCGCCTGCCAATTCCCGAACGCAAAGTTGTGTCCTATTACGACAACTCTTAATTCTTCGAAATATGTTCTTCGGCATTCTCGTCTTCCGACGTTGAAATCCCATTCGCCACTGGTTGTGGAGAGTTAACAAGATGCGCAAGACTCGCAGCGCAAAGCGCTTCTTCAGTTCTGGCTACCCACTCTAAAGAAGTAGCGGGATTCAGTTTTCGACAAAACGCGGAGGCATCCATTCATGGCCAACAACCAAGTATCCCAGCGAACGACGCGGCTTGCGATACCATTAAGTCTGAAAAACAATTACAGGAGGACACTTAGGACTGCTTACGTGTAGGAATGCGAAAGTATTCCTGCACGCAGCGCATACTTACTAGCTGCGCGCCCCGCTGTCCTCCGCAGAGGCCGGCTGGACGGCGTGACATGGCTGAAAGCAGAGCATAGAGCACGTGATACAGTCGCGCACAAGGACAGGGAGAGAAATTTCTCCCTCCCCCACTCTCCGGTTACGCTTGACACGTGACCAGAGAGGGAGAAGAGAGTGGCGGCCGCTCGCGCGCTGCCCTCTCCCTTTTTTGGCGCGCGGGCCGCCGCGCCAGGAGAAGGCTTCTCTTCGCGGTGGCGTTCCTTGGAACTATGACATGTCGCAGCCAATGGTAATTTCTTGCTCATTTCGCTCAGCCGGAATTTAGGTCCCGCTTTTTCTGCTACAGACAACGCCGGATTCGTTCCATTAAACAGTTAATGCTTTCGCATTAAAAAAAAATAAAAAAAAATGACATGTGCAGGTTGACATAGGGGACTTGAATTGACGAACTGAATGACCCCGCATATCAAATTTATTTTCGTTTTTTTTTTTTTTGCTTAGTCTTAGACTGAGCGCCGCCATTTGCTGGAATCCTGTCGTTCTCCGTGATTGGTTGCCTCTGCAGGAAACCGAACCTCCATCCTTTTTCTAGAGTGTATGTTCGATCGGACCAACCAGACAGTGTCAACAGCGTCCCATCATGGTGTTCGTCATGTTTTTGCACGTGTTCCATCATCGCTGAACAAATCCTAACAAAAAGGCCCAGTGAATTGCGTCTTTTCACACTGTTTGATTGGCCTCATTAGGTCGGAGCGTCGCTTGCGTCTAGACGTAAGCTTACCCTAAGTACAGAGTCACTCGCATTTTCGAAAACGCAGACGTTACAATTTTTGTTTACGCATATCGCTCCGGGATTCTCTCTTTTACCGGTCGTATCGCTTAGCGCAGTAATCTTGTTGGTAGCGGAGCGACAATCAGCTGCGCACTACTCGCTACCCTCAGCGATCTTCTATACTTTCCCTGACCACTCAGCATACGTTTGACATCGCTTCGATTATCACATGCGTTAACCTTTTTTGGGCTTGACCGAAGGTAGGCTGTGACCCCTTCAGCATCGGAGGCCAGAGGCCGGCGTTCCAACGTGTTGCATCCGCCGTCCAAACAACATAATAAATAAAATGCAGCCGCTAGCCCGTCCCAAATAACCGATCGATACCGCGTATCAAAGGAGGAACGACGACGGTTCACTGCGTCCCAGATTACCCTGCCGAGAGCATCGGCTAAGCCTTCATCGATGCCTTAATTTATGCACCGGGTCCGGCGGTGCAGAGCTTACGCTCTCATCGCCCGCGGGCTGACCGTGCGGTGGAAGCTACGTGCGTGCCGGGCCAATCGCGTGTCTATCTGTCGTCACGTGCTCACCTCCCAGCCTCACCCGCACCCACGCGCAGAGCACGCGGGGTCAGTCGATGAAAGGGAAGTGGTTCATTGGATTGGAAACCGCGTACCTCGCACCCTACTGTCAGCATAGGGGTGGAAGGAGCTTAGTGCTCGCCGGCCCGAGCAGACCCATCTTTCTCGGCCCCCCCCCCCCCCCCCCCCCCCCCCAACCCAGCTTGTGGTGATATTAATGAACTCATCAGACCCGCTCGCTGAGCGGGAGGCGCCGATCGGGAAATTGCGAGCAGATGAGTATCCCTATAAAAAAGTACGGGTGGGATTTCATTCCTTTTTTCTTTCATGTATTTTAAATGAACTCGATCTTCATATTATCCGTGGTAACGTGAGAATTATCGTAAAAGAAGCTCTGCCCACGCGTTCCCGGAACGGATAAACCATTTTCAAAAGCTCGTCGAGCAACATTGGTGGTCGCCATTTCTTGTGCACGAAGCGTGTTATTGGATCCGAGTCCGGTAACACGCTTTCTGTTATTGGGCTCGGCCTAAATCTTTTACGTTGACCACAAATGTCCCTACAGGTGTTCATACATAATGCCCATACATGGACCGGAAGTGTCTCTGCAGATGTTGATGCATAATCCCCATACATGGACCGCAAGTGTCCCTCCAGATGTTCATACATAATGTCCATACATAAACCACAAGTGTCCCTACAGATGTTCATACAAAATGTCTATTCGCAGACCACTAGTGCCCATGCAGATGTTCATGCATAATGTCCATAAATAGATCATGAGTGCCCATACAAATGTTCATACATAATGTCCATACCTCGACCACTAGTGCCCATACAGATGTTCATACATATGGTCCATACATAGACCACAATTCTTCACACAGATGTTCATACATAATGTCCATACATAGACCACAGGTGCCCATACAGATGTTCATAAATAATGTCCCTACTTCGACAACTAGTGCCCATACAGATGTCCATACAAACTGCCCATACATTGAACACTAGCGCCCATACAGATGTTCATACATAATGACCATACATAGACCACAGGTGTCCATACAGATGTTCCTACAAAATATCCATACCTAGAACACTAGTGCCCAAACAAATGTCCATATATAATATTCAAACATGGACCGCAGGTGTCCGTACGGATATTCATACATAACGTTCATATATGTACCACAGGTGTCCACACATACGTTCATACATTATGCTCATACATAGACGAAAAGTGTCCATGTAGCTGTTCATACATAATGATCGTACATACAACACAGGTGCCCATACAGATGTCCATTCACGATATCTACACGTACACCACAAGTGTACATAGAGATGTTCCTAGATAATGTACATTTATAGACCCCAAGTTCCCATAGAGATGTTCACATAGAATTTACATACATAAACCACAAGTGTTTGAACAGATGCTCATGCTCAATATTTGTACCAATACCACAATTGTTCGTACAGACGTTCATACATAATGTTCATACATAAGCCAAAGATGTCCACACAGGTGTTCATACGTTCAAACATAGGCCGGAAGGGGTCTATTTATGAACCATAAACGATCCGACGTTTCGCGCACTTCCTGCTTGAAACACCAGAGTAAACACCTGTTACTCGGATTCACCCATCCTCCATTTCTTGCCTCCACCTTACTCGTCGCATCCCCTGACTCTGTGTATAAGGCATGTTTCTTCCTTTTCACACGGTTCTGTAACATTGGTCATAAAAAAAACAAAAAAAAACTCAACCATTTCGTCGTTTACCCTGAGACTGGTTTTTTTTTTGAAGAGCAGAAGTAACAGAAAAAACAGACAAAAAACAGACAAACAAACCATTTTGGTAAAGAAGCTAGAGCAGCGGAGCTGTACTAGATGGCGGCAGCTGTCCGGAGTGTTGTGTAGAGATATATTTGTCCACAGACAAAAAACTGGGAAAACAAGCCCTTTAAAGCTCCGCAGTAAAAAAAAAAAAAAAAAAAAAAAAAAACTGTTTGCACACATGTTTGAAGAATACATATGTATTACGTAAACTTGTTTCGAACATGATTGCGGCGTGTCCGCCCATAATTTTGTCATCATGTTTTGCAGCGAAAACCCCGCGTCTTCTGAATTATGTATGATGAGCAGTGTAGTTGCGTCTTTTGGGGAACGTGTAAAGAAAATGAGCCATCCTTTATTTTTGTTTTCTTTCTTTACCGCAGTGAATCCTTTGTCGGTGGAGATCAAGGGGTCGCGAGGTCCTCTCTCTGCCGACCTGTCGGCCCAGGTCATCTGCCAGGTGAACGGGTCCCGTCCGGACGCCCTCATCCGCTGGTTCCTGGGGCCCTATCAGCTCAACGAGACCGAAACGCAGCCGATGTCGGCCAACACCACACTCGGCGTGCTCCACTTCGTGCCCACGGACCGGGACCACGGGGCCAAACTGCGCTGCGTCGCTTCCAACCCGATGGCTGGCGAAGGACCGACGCCGCCCCTAGAGGACTCCTGGAGCCTCGACGTCCACTGTAAGTGACCGTGACGCACTTGTCGTTGCGGAGAATTTTCGTGGTATTTCAATGGGCACTATTCAGTTTCACTCTATGTCCTACCGAAGTCGCGGCTACAATCTGATAGAACCAGTCGAGCATTACCAAAAGTGCATCATCACGGCGCTGGTCGTCTTTGTGTGTTTTCTATCGCCAACTACACCAATGACACGCAGAAAAGAGCACGATCGCGACATAAGCACTCGGCGTGATTCAACTCCCTAGAATTGAAGTCCCTTGATAATTTGCCTAGTAGAATTCACTGGGTCTCTTATGTTATCCCTATGACTACGTAAAGGTTTTGGAAAAAACGGCTAGTTTCTCGATCGGCCGGGCAACGGTCTAGCGGCGTGTAGGCGGCGTGTCCGGCGGCGTTTGTTTATCTAAGGAGAGACCGCGTGGGTCTTTCCGCCGACGCAGCCCCCTTGAAAAGAGTCATTCTGATGTATACTGCGCTGCAAAGTTACACTTAGCACATAAAGACGTAAACTACGAGATGATATGAAAGACAGTTAAGAACATGACGTACTTGTGAATGTGCAGATCGTAGTTTACGTCTTTATGCGTTAAGTGTAACTTGGCAGCGCAGTATACATCAGAATATGACAAACCAACCCGCCCAAATCCAAGCATTAAAAGGAGTCTTCTGTCTCTCCCCATCCGGATGACCCCTCGGGAAGGGATGTTGTTTTTCTTTTGAATCTGGAGGTTTGCGCATTCTACGAGGCTTCTTGGGCTTCAACCTGGGGGTTCCGGAGAGGAGCCGTTGTGTCGGCAAGAGGATGCATGGACGAAGTTACGGAGCTGTCGGCTGTAATCCATTGGCAAGTTAACGAATGTGTGTCGACGCCCTTGCCAAGTATTGGACGGTAGATATCACGCGACTCCAGTAAAACTCTGAAACGATTGTTTGATCCCCGCCTGGGAGTGAGGGGTTCAGCGCCCTCAAAAGCCTGTGACTGGGGAGAGAGAGGGCCCTTTCTGGCTTGGACTTGGACTTATTTGGAGGACGGCGAATTTCCTTTGCTTTCTACGAGGGCGGTCCGATAACTACTTAGCCTCACCGCTCAATGGCGCCACTATCGCAAGAAAAATGTATTATCGTGTAGTACATTCTCGTAGAGAGCTACTATCGAAATTTCAAACAAATAGGACTCACAGTTTTGTTTTGACCGCATGTGGAAGCGGGCGTGTCTGTGAATTTTAGAAAAATGGAAAAAGCAATATCGGTCGGTGATTTGATTTTTGTTTTTAGAGGGGAAACCGTGCAGTGAAATCAAAGAGCGCTTGGATGTTGTCTACAGCGACTCTTATCCTTCGATGGCGACCGTCAAAAATTGGTTTGACAAGTTTCAACATGGTCGCACGTCGGTTTTTGAAGAGTCATGCCCAGGTGCCCTGAAAACGGCTACCTTGGAGGATAATGTGACAAAAATCCACAATCTCCTATTGGCAGACCGCCGATGAAGGTGCGTGAGATAGCTGAGACAGTAGACATCTCAAAAAACCGCGAGGGTCATATCCTGCATGAAAGTTTGGGCATGAGAAAGTTGTCGGCGAGATGGGTGCCGCGTTTGCTCACTCCGGACAACAAGCGCAACCGTGAGACCACTTCAGAGCAGTGTTTGACGCTGTTTTAGCGCAATCCGAAGACGTTTCGGCGTCGTTTCGTGACCGTCGACGAAACATGGATTCACTGGTACACACCAGAGACCAAAAAACAGTCGCAACAGTGGACTTCACCCGGCGAACGTGCTCCGAAGAAGGCGAAGACTGTCCTATCGACCGGAAAGGTGATGGTCACCGTTTTTGGGATTCACAAGGTGTGATCTATATCAACTACCTGGAGAAGGGCAAAACGGTCACAGGGCTGTACTATCCCGAATTATTGGGCCGATTCGACACCGAATTACAGGAAAAACGGCCCCATTTGGCGAAGAAAAAAGTGCTTTTCCACCATAACAACGCACCGGCTCACACCTCCGCCCTCGCCACGGCCACATTGGTCGAATTGGGCTACGAACTGCTGCCCCATCCACCGTATTCTCCAGATTTGGTCCCGTGCGATTTCTTTTTGTTTCTAAACTTGAAAAAAATTACTCGCCGGGAAGAAATTTGAGTCGAATGAGGAGGTCATCGCCGCCACGGAAGAATACTTTGCAGACCTCGAGAAAACCTATTTTTCAGATGGGTTAAAAAAGTTGGAGCATCGCTGGGTCAAGTGTATCGAACTAAAAGGAGACTATAGTGAAAAATAAATCGCCACTTTTCTAAAACTTTTTGTTTCTCTTTTGTAGGCTAAGTACTTATCGGACCACCCTCGTGTATACTATGTACAATAGCTCGTAACCTCTAAATAAACGCTTTAGACGAAGGCCTCTCACATATCTGTTGCACTCTTCTGATCACCCACCGAACAAGGCTCATCAAACGATTGTCCACGTAAGACACCGCTGGGCAGTCACCATCTGTTCACTAAAAGGACGAACCTTTACTGACGACTTGAAGGCGAAAGCCCAAGCGCCCACCCCGGTGATAGCGAACCTCCAAAGACAGCGCGCTCCCTGACGATGCACTTCTGGCGCCGTTAATCTTACGGCATGTCGCACGCCCGCTATTCACTGCTGCCCAGGCGAGACTGTCCCCCTCTCAAGCTGGGTTTGTGCCGCGCGCGCGCTTCAGCCGATTCTGGCACAAGTAACGCTATCTCGTGGTCCAGTGTCGAACCGTGGGTTTTGGTACCTTTCGTGTCTCCGACGTGTTTTCGTACTTTTTGAGTCGTGGACGTGTTTTTGCTCATGATTTTTGAAGGTCGACTGAACGATGCTATATATAAGGCCTTAATAAGAGCCTCCTACGAGTAGCGACAATCTTTGAGGCGGCAAATGCGTGACGGTGCAGGTTTTAGGAAGCGAATGGTGGCGCACAGCAGAAGACTGACCTGAATGACGCCATTTTGTTCTATCGGAAAGTGCCTTGTCGTTTGTATTGGTTGTCGTTACTTGTAAAAAGAGTACCGAGAGACTTTGGGTGTGATTGGTTTTGTCGGTGATCACAAGTACGCAAAGCGATAAGCGCATGACGATGCACTTTTGGAGTGGCTTGATTTGGCTCTATTGGATCGTAGCAACGGCGGCGCCCAGTCTTTGATTGAAACGGGGATACATAATTTCGAGTCAGGGGAAAAAACCTATAACAGCTGTCGCGGTATAGAAGGAGGGTATAAACAACGCTGGTCCCCGTGCAACTGTCTTCCAACGACTGCTTCAGTAATATTCTCAGCTAACATCTCGACTTGGTCGGACGCGCAATAAGCCGATCCGCGCACGCGTTTTGTTGAACTCGAGCCAGCGCCCTTTTTGACTGTGCCTCGTGCACATAGAAATTGGGAGTACTTGTTATCAGCGTAACCGTAAACTTGTTTGAATATCAAATAAAGCCAGGGTTAAGATCCACACTAACGCCGACACGTCTGAATAATTTAAGAAAACAAATGTATGCAGGGTAGTTTGTACCCTCTCATATTATGCGCAGCGTGCTTTTGCAGGCGCGTCGTTATATGAGAAACTGCTCTCCCAGGCAGATGCGTTCAGAATTACTACATTCTTCAGGAACTTCAAAGTGATGTCGGTTGCGTGTGCAACCAAACCACGATTGAGTAAGCGTGTTCTGTTTCTTGATTCTGCCGACCGTAGCTCTGAAATTCCGGCGCTCTCGAAACGCTCTGCTCCTTAAATTAGATTCCAACGCCCGATTCTCCAAAACTCTTTTTTTTGGGGGCTAGTTAGAAACGCGGGAGTTTTCTTTTGAGCAAACCGAAGATGAGGTATAGAGGTAGATTTTCGCTTCGTAAGCCAACGGCGTCGTTTCGGATCAATTCAGACAGTCGTGAATATTTTAGACTCCTCGCGTTTCGAATTGACAAGATTGGTAGTCAAATCATGCCGATTTTCAGAAGCGTCTTTAAACAAAGTTTTGGGCGAATTTCAAAACTTGTTTAAAATGAACTTGTTAATTTTATTGCTGTCGCTGTTAATTTTATCGACAGAGGCTCAAAGCCGGAGTCACACTGCCCATACGTGGACGATATTTTTTTTTTTTATTCCACAGGCCGAGTGACATTTTTTTTGTCCTTGTCCACGCAGGCTATAGCGGTTAGTCAAATTTGGTATCCATATCGATTTTTGTTTTAGGTGGCACTAAAAAAAACAGAAAAAAAACATTATAAATAAACAACTGAACGTACGCGCTTCTCTTAAAAAGAAATGCCCTTGACCAGAGCGTGCTGGAAAGAATTATACTATCTCGCCAATTCTCCAGGGTGCAAAAATTTTTTTTTATTGTTTTGTGATTTTGAGTAGACATTGGCTATTGCCATCACTGTGCCCTATGTATATATAAGATATATTAGTAAATTCCCACTCTCCACAATTATTTTTGATTTCGCAAAACCCTCGAACATTCGACCGCGAAATATATAAAATATTCAGTGTTGTTTTTAGGGACTAACGTAATTTCCAGTTGTGTGAAAAAAAAAAAGAAAAGTACAGTATACTTTTTTTCTTTTTTGGCACGTATGAAAATAGTTTTTGACTCATCGTACACTTCGTGCTGTTGTCGTTTTTTCGACGGCGTCTGCTATCAACCGACAGCATGTGCTCTTTCTTGTTGGTGTGAGGACGCAATACTGCGAAACTCATCTTAGCCATTTCAATAGCAACTTCGAATGGAAGTTTTGAAGCGGCGGCGAAATTCCGTACCTAAAGAAAACAAAATTACTTCGAAAAAAAGTTTTTGTTAAGGGTAAGGTAATCGGGATAACTATAAGATTGGTTTTGTGTGTGTGTGTGTGTGTGTGTGTGTGTGTGTGTGTGTATGTATGCATTTCTGGCGGCAATTGCTCTTTTTTTTTGTGCTTCCGATTTAGAAAATATTTGTTGCCGTTAACGTTTTCCAAAAGCCGTACTATTTTCGGTTCGAGACAAACAACAAAACTGCGCCGCTGTAAAATTGCTCCGCTGGAAAATTGAGCCAGGCACAGAAATAATGTACGTGTGAAATATTGGAGCTGTACTGTGATTCAATGGATAATATTAAGAAAAAACCTATAAACGTTTTGTTGAGTAAAATACTTAACAATAGCTGCGTCTGAAATTCTGCTTCAGGTACTTCATTTCTTTAATACACAATTAGCTCAATTTATTAAACTATCTGGGAATAAATCAAATGTCGGGATCCCCATTTGCAACGATGCAATTTTTCAAAACTCGAGGTTAGTGCACCTATTTTTTTCAACATATCAAAAGTAGAGCGTATGCTAATAAAAGCAACGTTGAAAAACCTATTTAGCATTTAAATATCTACTGTCGCAAGTACTAAAAAACAACCACAATTGTCTGCACTGCCTGACGAAATATATCAATGACATATAGCGCTTTTTTATCACTCCAATGTTAAATTTTGCTCGACTAGTGGGAGAATTGTACCTTTTGTTCGCAGTTTCGATAGCAATAGGAGCATCCTTAATGTTATCATATCATAACGTGCACCCGCGCAAAGAACTGATAGCTCTCGCACGAGTGTAATCATTTAATAGTTTTAGGATGTTCTGTTTCCGTCCTCGATGTTTTATCCATTCGTTTATTTGTAACTATTCTTCAAGACGCTCCTTTCCAATTATTACAGTTTTATGAGCTTTATCTTAACTTGGGAAGGGTAGCCTACCTGAACCAGCGTTTTGTACGGGAATAACACAAATGAGTCATTAGAGAGGCATATGTTTTGTTCATACCTTAGCTGATAGTATTCGTATTGGTTTTTTGTCCGCTTAATCTAGATAAACAGTGAGAGCGTTTTTGATGCTCAGCGAAAAATATAATGTAGCGACGGTCCTAAAACTGAAAGTTCCATGTACATTCAGTTTTATTTAAAAAAAATGAAAGACGTCTACAATTCCCTGTGATGGAGAATTAGAACGCAGCTTTTGAGGAGGAGGAGGGGAGGGTACGGAGAACACGGTATGCCCCTCCTCCTCATCCGTACCCTCTCCTCCTCCCTCCTCATCTACTCCTCCCCCTCTTCTCCTCCTCCCTCCTTCCTCCTCCCCTCCTCCTCGTCTCTCTTCCTCTTGCCTATTTCTTCTTCTCCTCCCTCCTTCTCCTCCGCTCCCCATCCTTCTCCCCCTCCACCTCTTCCGTCCTCTCTCCTACGCGGTGCATTATGGGAAACGTCCCATAGTGCACCGCGCGCGCCACCGCGGTGCATTATGGGGCCTTTCCCATAATGCACCGCGCGGTTACGCCGACGGCGACACCGACGCGTCACGCCGACGCGCCCCGCCGACGCGTCACGCCGACGCGTTACGCCGAAGTGTTACGCTGACGCGTTACGGTTACGCCTACGGCAACGCCGACGCCGCTCAAGCCGGAAACGGGCGCCTAAGAGCTGCGCTCTAAAAAAACTTGACCATCTCTCTTGCTGTTCCATCCGGAATAATCGGTCCATTTTTAAGTTACATTTGTGAGAAATCTAGCGCAAAAAATATGCCGTCTCAGGTAACACAGTTCCTTCGGACAAATTTTTGTTGTTTGTCTGGAATTGTATGGACGTAAAAGCGAAATCCTGAGTAATCTGAGGCTGAGTCAAACAAGGCCTCCTTTGGCCAGAGTCTGGGTATCTTTTTCACAATTCCCCGAACAAGTGAAAAAGTTAGGTTTCACTTCCGGTTGTACGGTTTTCACGCAGTAACCTTGGAAGAAAGTGCCAAATTTAAGGCTCCACTGCCGGCCGTTCGGTTTATACTTGGCATCTTTAGCTCAAGTCTGGCACTCTGGTAATTATCTAGAAAGCACGAAGAAAAGGCATAGAAACATCACCAAAGGAAAATAATTTGGCACTAACGAACGCCTTGGAGCACAACAGTATTAGGTCGAAGTTAGGCCTCTAGGCATGCCAAGCTTCGAGCCAAGCTGGGCATTTCTCTGAACTGCTACCTAGGAACACCCTGTACGCCCGACGGTTTACTTTAATTTATTTAAAGAAGTGAAACGTTCCGCTGGGTTCTTATTCGCTTCACGGTAACCTGTCGATACGGCAGGGTAGCAATGCAGTACCTGGAATAATTGTGCATTTTATTTACGTTTCCTGCGTCGTTATTTGTCGATTTGCAAAAAGAAATATCGAATTTCGCTGCCCATCAAACGTCAACTTTTGTTTCACGTATATTTTATTATTGAACGGTAAAGGTGCCTTACGTGCAGTGGGGCCCTTCGGTTATTAGTCTGGTATATTATTAAAGCTTCGGCTTTGAAAGTAGCATTTAAATCACCAAAATCATGGGTACTATAATACATATATATATATTTTAATTTTGTATCAACGCTACCACAGTGTGCGCAACTGTTGAAAAATAATAATACAAAGACGCAGATAACGACGTAGGAAAGCACGCTAAGCTCAGCGACATAGAATGTGTTTTTTTTTTTCTTGAATATTTTACATTGCATATTGTCAAAAAGCAAGGAACTCCATTACTTGCGCCCTTAGCTTCTTCAGATTCGTGGTCCTGCTATTGTAAAAACATGAAACATTAATAAAACGATTAAATTCCCAGTAAATAGGCTTTTCAGAACCTCATTTTACATTTGTTCATAGACTAAAAATACGGCATACTGCGTTTTCTGTACTGCTTAGAATCAAAAATTCTATTGAGAGGCCTGTAGCTGAAGCATGATTTTCAAGCCCCTTAAATGAGTGAACTAAATCATTCAACGAAAAATGTGCAGCACTCGAATCGTTCCTCAAGAAATCTTCGTACACGTGGAATACGTAAGACGGTCACGTGTCTGTGCTTTAATGGGTCACGTGGTCACAGGGTAACCGCGGCCACGCAGCTTGCTTACATTAAGCAAACTATTGTTGTTGTTTTTTAATCCTAAAGTAATGCGAGCGTGTTTCGAATGGATGACTTGAGTTTGGGAAGATAAAAACGCGAAAGCCAAGGACAGCGAAAGACTCTGTTTTGTGTTTCTAATTTTGAACTTAATTTTCTTTTTTTATGCTTTACTCCTTCAAAATTAAAGTAATTCATTAATCTATAACGCACAGCAAACCAAGCGGCGCTCTGTGAGATGCGTGCCTTCCTTTGTTTGTACCACGTTCCAACCGAGCTTAATATTACATATTCGGAATTTGGGGAAACTCGCTCTTTCCGACACATTTTCGGAATAACTATGAATAAAAGTACCGTTCAGCCACAGCCTGCAACTCCAAAATCCAAATACACTTGATTTATCTTGACCCAACGAATAAGGTTCGTGTACAGAATACATATTTCCCCAGCACTCTTTGGTGTTTGTGGTGGACCAACGCAGTTTATTTTCTTTCTTTTTTCTTATAGTTTATTATTTTATATCGAACTGTCCTTTTTTTATATGATGGTCGGCCCGTCTTGGACTTCTAAACACGCTAAGGAAATCTTGCTCACACCAGATGAAGAACAGTTTTTATTCTCAGCTGAGCAGACTTAAAGCGGCAGGGTACCCTCTGCCTGTTCTCCGAGATGTTTCCGATACCTTAGCGAAAAGGATCTAAGGCAACAGCGATGTGTGCGACATGGTTCTCAGGAGGGTGAGTAGGCCTGTCCTCTTGCCTTACATTCACAAGATGTGGCACAATCTCAAGGAGGTTGTCCATCGCTTTGACATACCATCGTTTGTTTCTGCACCAAACAAGCGGTCTTCGTTGTGTAAAAAGATACACGGATTGGGAGAGAAATCGGTTGTGTCGCAAAGGCCTTCAAAAAGCGACATGTCACTAAGTTCTGCAAGTGCGCCACTAGCGTCACGTACTGAAATTCCCTGTCATTATGTAAGGTGTACGTTGGCCAGACGGGGAAGTGCGTTCATGATAGGGTCAGAGAGCATGCGTTGGCGATCAGGCACACCTAGCGGTCCACTGTGACCGTTGTGAATGCGGGACCGACTCTGAGAAGCGTAGCCTATATTTTGGTGAGACCTGTGTCATGGGCCATTTCAAAACAAAAAAAGACGAGAGAAATTCACGAAGCCTTCCTGATTAAGCCCCACCCCGACAACTCTTGTGTAAGCGCACCCTCTTTGTCCTTGTATCGATAAAGGAATCTAACTCCTGAAGAAAACAATTCTGGGGGAGGCGGGGGGGGGGGGGGGGGGGGATTTAGACCATATCTTTGTGTTCGGTCATGTGTGCCAGTTTTTATGTTTTTAAAAGTATTTCATCAAAATAAGCCATCCAAATATATCGCGTCCTGTCCAGTTCTCCCTTCGTTTTCGTTCGCGTTCTTTTTTTTTTTTTTTGCCGTATTACATTATGATGCAAAACCAACTAGCCCCACCAGCCATCCATATCCAAGATTGGCGGTCGCCAATCTTGGACAAGGAACGTGCCGAAACAATGCCGTATTCGGATTGTTTGCTCACCAGCTACTGGATGGTGCTCAGTTTTGAAGAGGATCGGTTCGATTGCATTCCGCAGACAAGCCCGTGGTGCAACTGAGGCTGGGCAGCGGTCTGAACCCGGCGAGCATCCACGAGGGCATCGACATCTACTTCGAGTGCACCGTCAGGGCCAACCCGGGCGTCAGCGAGGTCTCGTGGCAGTTCAACCGCAAGGACCTGCACACGGACGGCGGACGGGGAGTGATCGTGAGCAACCAGTCGCTGGCGCTCCGCAGCGTGAATCGAACCAACAGCGGGTTCTACGCCTGCCTCGCCGCCAACACCGAGGGAGAGGCCCAGAGCAACCGGCTCAAGCTCAGGGTGCTACGTAAGTTCGGCTCGACCGGAGGACGCCTTCCGCGCAAAGCGCTTTTCCCAGTGAACCGAGGTCCTCTAGGTGAAAGTTCTACGGCGCGTCCCTCCGAAAACTTTACGGAGTTCTTTTCACCGCAAAAATAAACTACGCTTCGTTAAAAACTCATTCTCCCTACCGAATGTAGCACTAGCGATCCGAACCTTAACGTTTTAGAATTAACCGATATCAATGTCAAAATGAGCTTTTTTTTTTTTTTGCCTAGTCGTATTTGGAGTTTTTGTGATTGAGTGGGTGTCTTCTATTCTTTGCAGGTATTGACTGTTTACGTGTTCTACAGGAAAGCGAATATAATTTTTTTTAAGATGCAGGTGGAAGTATTTTTTTGGACAAGGCAACTAAAGAAGCACAAAACGCTTAAAAGTTTGCAATGACTGCGAAGTAGTCTAAAAATGATGAAAATATTGTTCCACCATTCCGAGTAATTTATGGTGAATTTCACTGGTAGATCTGCAGCGCTTTTTAAAATCCTTGAGGTAGGCGAAATTCCGCTCCGTGGGACCCGCTCCGAATCGACGAGTGGAACATGGACTCGCATTTGGGGAGCGACCCACCGAAGCTCCCGAGGCGGTCGGCCGTTCAAACTGGCCGCTGCTCGAACTTGACAGGCCGACCAACGCCTCAGCCGACTGATCTTTCTGACGACCAGCGACAACTGTCACTGCTTAGCTGCAGAAATAACACGCTACACAGGCCGTGCGAGTACCACGGAGGCCATGTCACAAATAACCAAGGAACGACTTTGTGTTTATTAAAGTCGTACCAGCCATTTGAACTCCACCGTCACATACCTTTTGACCGCCTCGAAGCGGTAAGGCACGCACGGAGATTGCCATCGTTTGAGTTCAAATGGCTGGTACGACTTTAATGAACACAAAGTGGCAACATACCATCACTTGCACGGGCGTTGCCTACTTTGGTCTTCCTTTTTTGCACGAGAAAACGCCGGCGGCATGCAGCGCAAAAAAGGTAAACAATCAGTGACGGCAAAATGAACAGGCCTAACCTTGCGTCTGCCTCCTTCAAATTTTCTGTTGTTCCCTTTCTCGTTTTTCTTCTCACAATCACATATGTCTGCGCTTGCGATTTGTCGCGTTCCAGTCCCGGTTTTTCAATATACCGGGTGTTTTTGCGAAGACTTTCAAAAATCCTAAAAATTACGGCGATTGAAAAAAGAAGAAACTCTCTTCGGGAACACACTACCAGCCACGGCGGACGTCAAGAATTGCCAGAAACCTACTAATGAGCCAGATGATTAATTAAAACTTGTTAATTAACTTTTTAATTAGTGGAAATAGACATTGAATTCCAATTAGAAAGTTGCTGAGCGTTATCAAAAACCACTAAATCAGTCATTTTCGTGACTGACCTGACGTCCCATCCCTAGAGGATGGGACGTTAGGAGATTTAAATAATGCTTAACTAAAATCAATTTACCCGAATGCTTAGCTCTCAAGACGAAAAAGATTTTATGTGTATTAATCTCGAAAAGTAATAACTTTCTTGTTTTAATAATGTATGTATATATTGGAAGATACACTGGGTGCTGAGGCACTTACAATAAGAAATTAGATTAAAATTTAAAAAAAAGTGTATTTTGTATACACTCTTGCAAGATACGCGCCCCGGCTGGTGCCCCAAGCGTGCGAGTATGTGCAACCTGCGTTTCAATGTAGCTTTGGCGAGCTTAAAAATGGCCGTACTTAATTGCAGGACCAACAGATAGAGGTGGCCAGATGTCCCGCTTGAAATCATGTGTTCATTGATGACGATACCCGGAAAGCACGTTGCCCCCCCCCCCCCCCCCCCTTTTTTTTTTTCCCACTATCAAACTCTTTTATTTATCCGCTGTTTATTTATTTTTATTTCTTTCACAGACGCTCCGGCATGCCGGTCCCCCCAGCGGCAGTACTCGCACGCAGTGGCCAAGCACGAGGCGGTCGAGGTGTCCTGCGACGTGGAAGCGGATCCTCAGGACGTGTCCTTCGCCTGGAGCTTCCACCAGGGACACCGGAACCTCAAGCTGGCCACCAACGCCTTCTCTGTGACGGCGCCCAACAGCGACAGCAACTCCGCGCGTTCCGTCCTGCTCTACACGCCCAAGACAGACGCGGACTACGGAAGCCTCTTCTGCCTCGCCCGCAACGCGGTCGGAGAGAGCGCTGAGCCGTGCGTCTTCCAGGTCATCCCGGTCGGTAAGGATCCATTATCTCGGTGACGTCGGGCAGAAACGCAAATCCTCCTACACTTTTCATGCCGCGGTCCCAATGAAACGACCTCATACATTAGTCATACAAATACCTTCTGCAGACGTGTTTCAACAAAGCCTCCCCTATACTGACAAAGTTTGGCAGATCGCCACGAGAAGCGGCCGCCGGGAGTGAAAAAATGGAGCGGCAGACAACGGATCAGAGGAGAGCCACGTGACTGGCGCCCCGCTGTGGCGATACACCAACACACATCTCTCCCGAGCGAACAAGTGTGTTTCGGGTCCTCGCCGCTGCAAAAGATGTGCGCTGACGTCCAGGTTCCCCGAGAAACGGCTCTTTGATGCTCTGTGCTACCAGGTCCTCGCGCTCAAAATCTGCGACGGGGCACTCTATTGCTGTGTTCCAAATCCTACACAAATGAATCCGTGTTACTCCGACGGGTCACGTCACGTGACAACACAGATTGAAAAGCGCTGAACGCGGGTAAGTTTTGAAACGCCAAGGTACCAAACCCTTACCCTAGAGTAAGATCGAGCACCAACGCCTGTCAGCCATTGCTTAGTAATCGCGTATACTCGGAGCAGGACTTGGAAACGAGGGCTGCGTTCGGCGTGAACTCGGCCCAGTTCGTATTTGAAAACCAGCGCTGCGTCAGCGCCCGTCGAGGGCTCGGATCCCATCATCGCGCTACATGTTCAACGATGGATGGATGAATGTTAATGGCTATACCCTTTGTAACGGGTGGTAGCTTGCGCCACCTAGCCTAAAAAGACAAACATATGATGCCTCCTGACGTTCTAAGTCAATTTTCTCCCCTTAACTATCACCATTACAACGAGAAACAATGGCGCTCGCCATTTTTGCTCGATGAACCTTAGAAAAGAGTCTATTTTTCCCAGTGCCCATCATCGCACTAGGATGTTCTCAGATCATTGGGTCGGCATCGACGTCTCAGAACGGCTAACCCTCCTTCAGCGCATCATGATCGAACCGATTTTCTTCTTCGTGACCACGCAAAATATACGGATGATGATGATGGTGGTAGTGGTCTAGTCGTATTCTGGGCTCCGCCATTCGCCTGGATGCTTCTACAGTTCGCCGTGATCCGTGTTGCCCAAGAATGCAAACTCACTTCTTTCGTTTTTTCTTTCCCCCGATAACGTACTCGGCGTTAAAATATATCCGCTACCAGCTCCGAGCGAGCAGAACATAACGGACGGACGACGCTGAAGTGCTGTTTTGCGGATATTGCTCCTCGCTTCTCGCTTTGTTGTTTTCGTGCTGCCACGTCCGGGGCACCAGCGGCGGCGCGCGCTTATCGAGTTAACTGCCGTGTTCGGATTTCGAACGCCGCGCACGGCTGTCACCTCCGAAGTGCGGCCGACTACGGTATCGACCCCATCGAGTGCAAACCGGGCTGTTCCGCTTCCTCCTACTCCGTTTCGCCCCTAAGCAGACAGCGCGGTGGACGCCACGGGCTCGTTTGAACCAATCGCACGTCGATCTTCACCACGTGATCACCGTTCTTCCACCCGAACCCACCCGCAGAAAGCGCGGTCAGGTGATGGAGGGGAGGCGTATGATTGGTCCGGCAAGCCTGTAGCTCCCACTACGCTATCAGCTTGAGGGTGAAGAGAGGATTTACACCGTTCGCCCCTAAGCTGACACTGTGGTGGAAGCTTCGCAATCGCCGGACCAATCAACGACCTCCGTTCTGTCACCTTGCCCCACCTTCTGCGTGGCGGGTATGGGCGAAGGGAGGCGTAATCGCGTGATGAAAGATCGACGTTTGATTGGTTCCCAGGAGCCCGTAGCTTCCACCGCGGTGTCAGCTTAGTAGTGAACGGAGATGTGGCAACGGCGCCGGCGCCGACTTCTACCTCGCGGGAAAGCAGCGATCGCGTGACGCCGACAACGGAATAGAAATAAGGTTTTGAAGCAGGCTATGTGTTGCGACATCTGGCGCCGCTTTGAACAACAAACAAACAACTGCGAAAGATAGACATGATGCAGGCGGCTTCTGTGTGTTTTCTTTTGTGAGGTTCAAATTGAGTTCTGTGTTTGAGATGCGGCTTTAAGTATACTAAAAGGGGAGAGTAGATCAAAACAAAGCGAGAAACAGACGCTACTTAACGATAAAACAACGAGCCTATTTGGAATAAAATTGGGTACAATTCTTGTGCGCAGCAAGCATAGTGAAAAACCTTCTTTTTTTCTGTTTTTATATGGCTGCGCGTGTCAAAAAAAAAAATTCGACAAAGAGGAGCTAACATATGCTAAGAACGGATGTATCAAAAATGCTGAATCCATTTCTTTTTTCATTTTTTTTTTTTGCATTGTGTGCGTTTCTTTTTTCGTTTTTTGTTAAAGATGCGAAAGTGGAATTTTGATGATATGTTGACTTCTAAAGTATTTGACGCCCCATTTCAAATATACATACCCATTTTTGGTACGTTTTTGTTTTAAAAACGCGCAATTACCTTACATCCTAAAGGTAAGATATTGTAATTAAAAAAAAAACGAGCTTATCGCCCATTAAAATATGGTCGGTTATGAACATATCTAATAAAGCGTCTTAACGCAGTTTATTAAACGATGCAAAATTAAGATACCTAAAACTATAAGTTGATGACCAAGTTAGTTAAACATCCCTTTTTAATGAGATGTCGGTTAAAAGCATAGTTAAAGAAACGAGCTTATCGCCTATTATAGTATGAACGGTTACGGAAATATTGAATGCATAAAGCGTTTTGACGTGCTTTACTAAAACTATGTAAAATTGAGAAATCAAACAATATAAGTTGATGACCAAGTTGGCTAAACATAACTTTTTCCATCTTTTTATTAAAATGTCTGTTGAAAGCAGCGCTTTCCATGCCAAGTCTTCTCCTAGTCCTTTGTCTTCCGCATTAACAGTTTTTGAGTTAAGAAATCTAATAACAGAAAACAAGCACAGAACCGTGTGTGTCATCGAATGTCCAAGTTGTCACCGTGATCTTGAACATACAGGTCCTCCCATGACGCCGTTCAACTGCACCGTGGAGGAAGTGACGTCAGAGAGTGTTCACGTGACCTGCCAGCGCAGCGGTACCGCCCAGCAACAGACGTTCCTGTTGGAGCTGCACGACGGCCAAAGCCCGCCCATCGCCACCAACTTCACTTCCGGTCAAGCCAGCTTCCGGGTCCACTCGCTGAGACCGGCCACCAGGTACCGACTGGTGCTGTACGGAATAAACGCCAACGGACGCAGCGAACCCGTCCACATGACCTTCTACACTCTCCCCGTCGAACGCAGTCTGGCCAGCCAAGGCAAGTCTACTCGTAGATGACATATCCAGATGGTGTGGCGACTGTTAAGGGTTTCCGTTTGGTATTGACTACGGAAAGGACAGAAATGACGTCACATGGGCTCTTTGAAGGAACGCTTTTGATCGTGGCTATCCTGGGACTTTATGCTACACGGCGGGACCAAGTAGAACCAAGGGACCAGAATAACGTCGTCTGCTGCGATTGTTCTGCGCCGCGCCGCTGAACAATCGCAGCAGACGGCGTTCTTACGGTCCCTTGGTCCCGCCTAAAGTCTCTTGATACTTCTCTTTGGAAGTAATGACAACCTAGACAAAATACGAAAAATATTCCGCTGGAACAAAATGGCGTCATGTAGTTCAGTCTTCTGCTGTGGGCCGCCGCTATTCGCTTCCTAAAACCTGCACCGTCACGCAATCGGTGCTTCAAAGAGTGTTGCTACTTGTAGGAAGCTCTTATCTGGGGACTTTAGTCCCGCCGTGTAGCATAGGGCCCCTAGTGGTCGGCTGTGAAAGCGACGGCAAAGCAGACTACACGGCAGCATTGGCTTTAGGTGTCGCAATAATCCAGCTGCCGAAGGGTTGCAGATGGGCAGGCCTCCGACATCCACGCTTCTTCCGCCGCAGACGCCTAACAGTGGTTTCGAGAACCACCATATGTATCGCGACGATCTGAAACGAAACGCGATCGTGATGTCACCAGGCAGACATTCCGCGTACAAAATGAAGGCACCATGAACTGACCTTTCGGATAACCGCTACATGAAACGTAGGTGTAGCTTTTTGCTTCAGAACCTTCAGAATGTATAAAGAAACGCCTCGTCATTGGGAAGCGGACATTCTTGCCATACAACAGGGCAACTGCAGATGATAGTTTTATGGCGACAAGAACGTATGCTTGAGGATCCAGGACATTTAACGAATATAAATATGGAATGTATCAGATTTTATGGAGGAGGGACAGGTGATTTGAAAAGAAAATGATGAAAATTGCCATGGCGCATCTTTGTGGCTTATTGATAATGTTTTTTGTTTTTTTTAAATATCATTGGTTCAATGAAGTGAGCATAAAAAAATATCTTCCTCCCCGACTTAACAAAAAGAAACAAAAGCTTCTTCCGCTGTATCGCTTGTATTAAAATGTTTTCCTATTTTTAGAATGTTTGTTACGTTACGTGTTTCTTGCCAAGTCTGAAATGAGGATCTAACTTCTGTTTTGAATAATTAAAAATGATCCTGATCAGCCCTTCACTTTTTTTTTCCCCAAAACAAAATTTTTCCTAGACTTTCGAGCGCTTTTGAAGCCTTTGTGGCTCATCAGTTTTCAGTACCGCCGGAGGCGTTACAGACGAATAAAACGGAACACACTCTTCGAATGAATTTTGCTCATGGTGTCGCGTCCTGTATTTTCACCATGCAAACTCAGTCATCGACGGACCAACTCTTTCTGTGCAGACGCCGGCTGGGGCCTTGGATCTACAACTCTCTGGGCAGCCGCGCTAAGTTGTATAGCCGCTTTTTTAATCGTCTTCATTGCCCTCACCCTGGGAAAGTTCCGCCGGAAGATCCTTTTCAACCGATGTAAGTTCCTCTTCGTAAATTTGCACTGTTCGCAGTATGGCTTAAAAAAATCTTGCCCATGTGAACGTACTTCGCAATTGCTTGTCCCGCTGCTATGACTTTCTAATATGCCACTAACATGAAAATGAGTGGTTCATTTGTTTCACAGTTTCTTTCAGGAGAAAAGTAGCCTTACTTTAATTTCTGGACATTTTTTTTTCTTATTTACTTTTACAACAGGCAAATGTACTTTACTTGGTGCCATGTTGGTGCCACTAGAAGAAACTTGCAAACCACGTTCTAGGCCGAAACTATCACTAACTATATACCATAAAACCGAGCGAATCAGACAAACCATCCAGAAAGTACACAACTTGATGAGTAAGCAATTTGTTTTACACTTTTTTTTTCGAATGACGGATAGTGACCTCTTTGCTTAATCGCTCAGTTTTATGTTTAATGTTTATAGAATACGTCTTATAAAACCTCGCAAGCTAAACTTGGAAGCTTTTCCAGAGTCCACGTTGCACTCGCTTGTTTGCCGAGGAACATGTGCCGAAGGCAATTAGGGGATTATCGCTCATTACGAATACATCGATAGTAACCGCTCGTTTTGGCTAATCGATCTACGGTCAAGAGAGACGCTTTACAGACTGATTTAGGCCGGAGATGCCGTTTCATCGATAAACCTGTAACGACCGATTATGCACCAGCAGATATCTAAACTGCAAGATGACCGTTAGATATGCATGCAGTCGTAGTGTGTTTCGTTCGGTGGGTTTTTCCAGTGATATACGTCTCTTGTCTTTTATTCCAAAATCTGGGTTAATCTGACGTCTTGTTTGTAGGATGGCCTCTGATTTCGTGAAAGGAAACGATGATGGACATGTCATACTAAGAATAATTGTCTGCGTTTATAACAGTCCGATAGTTGGATCCACAAACAGCGGGCCGTATGGCCCAGAATCGGTATATTGTCAGGGGGTTTTACTCATCGCTATGTAGTAATTACTGTGATTTATCTTGTAGTTAGTCGATACATTATTAGAATATAAGGAGGGCACATTTGCAGGGAGTGATGTTTTGTCCATATGTGCAGTTTCTTCAGAGTTGTCGGAGAAGGGTAGACCATTAAACAACAAGACAGACTTAAAAACCTGTAAACACGTACCCTTCGCGAGAATTTTTTTTTTTGCCTCTTTTAAATAGTTTTTGTGACGTTCGCGTCGGTATTTTCCCCACAGCGCAAGAAATGTGGAACCGAGGTGAAAGGTGCCCACCGGACGACTCGGCTAAAAGGTGCAGTACTTATGCATCTTTTATCACACCTAGCAGTATTTATCCCCAGAAAAGTTTGCCTTGCAGTAGTTATCATACCGGAAACGTTTTTTTTTTTTTTTCAATCACTGAAATGTCAGCGGATGTCAAAACCTGCACAAATAACATTGTCATCTAACAAGTGCTGCGTATGTTCGGCGTACTTGTAGTATATTATTTATTAAAGAGGGCTCCAGCGAAAACACGGTGAGAGTGCAGGCGAGCTGGTGGTAGCTAATCATGTCGTATTACACCTGAGACTGCGGTGGAAGAAATTGGAAGAACTTTCAGTAGAAGGAACAGACACAGAGAACGTCTCAAACTCAGCTAACTGGTTTATTTCTCAAACAGCCTTTAAGTACCCACGGAACTTTTTCCCAACCACACTCTACAGATAAACTCCTTAGTTGCAGACATTTCAAACCAGATGGATACAAAAGATACAAAACAACCCACACATGAGACGAGGACCTGCAATGATCAGTGTCCCATTGTTAAGTCCTCGTCTCATGTGTGGGTTGTTTTGTATCTTTTGTATCCATCCGGTTTGAAATGTCTGCAACTAAGGAGTTTATCTGTGGAGTGTGGTTGGGAAAAGGTTCCGTGGGTACTTAAAGGCTGTTTGAGAAATAAACCAGTTAGCTGAGTTTGAGATGTTCTCTGTGTCTGTTCCTTCTACTGAAAGTTCTTCCGATTTCTTCCACCGCAGTCTCAGGTGCAGGGCCGTACCCAGAAAAAATTTTCGGGGGGGGGGGGGGGGGGGGTTCGGGGACAACGGCGGCCATTTTGAAAGTGTCTATTGTCTTATTTTTGCCTATGAATCATGTGCATCGATGGCATATAATGGAGAGTTACAGCAAACCGGAAAACCGGTCCCGGTTTGGTACCCGGTAGCCGACCGGCGCCACTGCGCGTGCGCAGAGGTGGAGATTAAAATCGGCTGGCTGCCAGTGCACCGACCAGGGCCGTACCCAGAAACAAATTTCGGGGGGGGGGGGGGGGGTCAGAACCCCTATCCCCCCCCCCCCCCTGGTTACGGCCCTGCTCAGGTGTAATACGACATGATTGGCTCCAGCGAGTGCGCTAATTGCTCAACACAGCAGAAAATAAAATATCAGCATGTCAGCAAATATTATTTTAAAGGTGGCAAGGGGGAACTAAAATTTGCATCACGATTAATCTCGATCGTTTTTATTCGTCGATATAATATTTTAGTGTTTCTCGATTTGTATTGAACTACTGCTGTGTGCACCGGCCTGCACCACTCTGCAGTATGCATATGGCAATCGGCATTCGGAAATCATCGGACCATATAAATTAGCGACAGCTCACTCTAAGTGTTTGCTCGTTCATTTGTTGATGATGCTCTCCAACAGCAGCATGCCTTTTGATGATAGATTACATCACGAAAAAAAACAAAAAAAACGCAACGAACATTATAACACTAAATGCACCGAAACTCTGAATAAAGTGAACGTCCACATATCATATTACAGTTGCGACATCACTAATACTTTTATAATTATTATTCAAAGCCGTAAACATGTGAACTGCAAATGACCAAACGCAATTCAGTAGGTGTTCTATAAGCGTAATAAGCGATAAAAACTACACCATTATTCATTTGAGCATGACAAATTGGAATAGAACAGAATGAGCTTGATGCTGATAACCTCTGCAAAACAAAATAAAAAATCAACCTGAAAAAAAAAAACTGTTTATTAAACACATTTTATACTTCAGACATCACATCGAGCCCCACGTCATTGCCGTTTTGTTAGAAATGTTTGTCGGTGTAAACGAGGACCACTATACCTCTTGGGCAGTGAAGTTACCTTCGACAGGTAACGCCGTCTTATGCGGGATGTTTGCAACTCCGATACTGCCCCCTGCCGCAATAATTAGACCCGATCGCGAGCTCGAATGTCCGAATGCCTTGCCAAACTTTGACGCAGAGCTCGAGACCAATCGTTCGGTGCTTAGGCCTAACCAAATTTGCCCATTTTGGCCACCAGTCGCGCTGACTGACAGCCCGCCAAGGCGCCCCCTGTACACTGCCATGGGCCATAGTTTCCGACACCTTAAAACAAGGGCGTGCCGAGTTCGGAGCATTTTTATTCTCGCTCCGCAACCAATCAGGTTACGGCGCCGTAACCTGATTGGTTGAACGCCGTAACGTCAAAACGCCGAGCTGTGATTGATTGGTTTTGATGGAAGGATAGTAAGTAGGCCTCGATGCAAGGTGCCTCGAGGTCTACCCACTATCCTTCCAAGCCTTCCAAGCGTAACCAAACAGAGCTTGGCGTCCTGATGTCACCGCAACACGTCCCCCCCTCCCCCGTCCTCCCCCCCCCCCCCCCCCCCCCCCTTTAAGAAGCAGACGAGCTTGAGCTCCGCGTAAGAACGCGTAAGAACGAATCGCAAAGCGAGACGTGCGAACATAAGAAGGCGATCCCCGCCTTCCTTAAGCTCTCGGTGATTAGAGACGCGTTCAATGCCGGAACCTAACACGCAAGATGCGTCACCGAGGATTTCCTGACGAAGTGTCACCAAAGCCGCAGTCAAACTGCTCACACGTCAATAATATGAGAGACACGGCATTAGCTGCAGACACGATGAAAGGAATGTCTGCAGACACGGTTAGGGTTTGTTCGAAGTGTGCTTCCTTCATTCATATGTGCGCTTGGAGCTCGTCTGCTAACAGTTTTTCTATGACCGATGTGGCATAACCGTTTTATACAAGTATGCAGCGCGCCTCAGACAGTAGAAAACCGCTTTTGCAGGTCCGATACGGTACGATGGTTCCCCCGGTACAAACTGCGCATGCGAGAGTCTTGCTGCGGTAGCGCATGCGCAGTTCGCACCGGAGGGCCCATCGTATCGGGTGTTCGAACGCAGTTCCCCGAAACTCCGTAGGGAACCGTTCTTGAACGTCCGATACCGTTCGATGGGTCCTCCGGTATCAACTGCGCATGCGCTACCGCAACAAGAGTCGCGCATGCGCAGTTCCCACCGGACGGCTTATCGTACCGTATCGGATACGCGAAAACGATTCCCTAAAACTCCCTAGCGTTTGCAGACTGTCCTTTCTGTGGTGTATAGGCCGTGCGACCGCAGCTTTATTGTATAAAGCCGAAAACCAAAGCTAATGCAGCCGGCAAGAGCAGGCCCACCATGTATGCGTAGCCAACGAACACCCACAAGAACCACTAGGCTAGACGATCCACAAAAGCGAACCACATCTGTCCGGTCGAGAATCCGCCGGCACAACACCAACTTCCCTCGTAAAGTTCGCGAGGACTAATGAGAATTCCAGCGCTTGCGTTGTCCGGCCTCGGCTAGCCCAGAGGTCCGCACGACGCCTTCTCCCCCGAGTCCCCAAACTAGACAAGATGGATAGGTTGTCTGGCATCATTTCGGTCCCCAACGAGTGCTGCTAGAAGCAGAGGGAGGCGAGGGGCGCCCGCGCGCGTGCTGCCGCTTCAAATGGATTCAGGACGACCAAGGAGCCACGAAAGATTGTGCAGCTAATGGCTCGGACTGCGCTTTTGTACTCCCTTCGTTTGTTAGGGGCTGGCGACTTTGGGTGCTCGGGCTTGGCTGGAAAGCTTCTGGAAGTGTTTGCATAACGGCCGACGCCGCACCCGCTGTCGTAAGACTTTGAAACAAACTGGGCTCCCCGAGTGGCAGGACAACGGGGCCGCCATTGTCTCGCTGGGGCTCCCGGGGGTGGAGGGAGGTTAGGAGTTTCTCATTTGGACTAACTGGATGTGTTGTCACGGGAGTCGAAAAAAGAAAAGAGCGCAGACGCTCACGATGGTTGACAAAGCGCTTGAAGATGACGGGACGGACATGTCGTAATCAAATTGTGCTCCTGTGAAAGTTGCGCAGTTTCCCAAGGCGACTTCCGTGCGACGCGAAGTATTTACCAAATGCTGCAAACTCCATAAGCGCAGAAATATAAAAAATAAAACGTTTCACTAACCCTAAAGTGGCTGCATTCGTTGCGCTTAAAATCTGCTTTTTTAAACTCTGTTGTAAAATCTTAGTTTCTTCATATCCCTCTCAGACGGGTAGTTAATGTCAGTTCCATCGGGTGGCATTTGAGTAATCGGCCGATCAGAGCGCTCCACTCCTGGCGCAGCGACAAAGTTGCCGATCACACACGTAATTGAACTGAACTGACGCAAGTTTCTGCTGTAACAGGGTCATTAGCGAGACATCCGCAACGCCAGTTCGCGGCCTCTAGAAAGTTAATCTTCATCTATTTTCTACGAGCGTCTGCTAGCTTCGTGCTTTGTTTAGACATCCCAATGCTGATAGATAGTGCATGACATAGTCCTCAGTGTATGGCATAGGTTTGGTTGACTTTTCGAGAACAATAGGTTGTCAAACTAGCGTAGTGAAAATAATATTTCTCTACTTTTTTGTTTGCTTTTCTTTTAGAGACTGCAATCACGTGCGCCACGACCTAGTAGAAGGAAATACCGATTTGGGTACCGAGCTTGCCGGTGAGTAGGTCGAACACCCGATCTGGTTTGTAGATACTTCTAAATAAAAACCGTTTTATTTGCTCCGGAATCGAATTTATCCAGACAGTAATAGATGTCTCACGCAGAACAAACTAACATATGTGAAAACAATCGTAAAGAAAACGAGTACAGATCACTGCTAGCCTGTTAGTCCAAGGCGGTTTCGAATAAAGTGGCCGGTTTTTTGTCTCTTGGTCATGATATCGCAAACTAATCAAGCATTAGCGATGTCGGCGCATGTCCCCGCGTATCCTGGTACGGGTTTTAGAAGCGCCTTCTACCAACGTTCTTAGATCTTTCAGTTGACAAGCTCCACGGAAGGGTGGAGTTCGAAAACGGTTCTTCTCTTTTGACGGCACGCGAGGAAGATATGGGGCGAAGAGCGTTCCTGTAGCATCGCCAGCGGCAACGCCTTCAAGGACCACGGCTGAAGAACTTTTTTTTTTTGAACGACCTACTTGTTTGCGCAAACTTTCCCACAAACTTTATGTTTACCATAAAATCCGTAATAGAATTACTTTCGATCGCGAGCAATGGGCGTCCAACGTTCCACAGCTTTCGGCGCTTCTTTCCATAGGTGGAACTGATGTAGTGCAGCGTGCGTCAGAGGGGACGCGCCCCAAAAAAGGCACCACGCGTTCTAGGAGCCTTGTCAAGTGATTTCGATCTATGGTAACGTTTTCTTCTAGGGAACGTTTCCGAGTAAAATGCGGCCTTAAAATAGTTTTTACATAAGAACCAATTAACTTAGTACAATTTTTTTTCTCACGAGGATGTCTATAGGGGCTGCATTTCTAATAGTAAAATGTTACTAGTATAGCTTTTTGTAAAAAAGATCAAGCCTGAAGACACCCTGTTTCTTTCAACGTAGAGAGAGGAAAGGCAAAAAGCAGATCCTAGCGTGAGTGGTGCCATCTGTGAGCAGCAACGCCAACGAGCCAGTTTGTGCCGTTTTCTTCCCGTCACATGGGGAAAAAAATTTGTTTTTCTGCTAATTGATTTTTATAAAACCTACACTCATAAAATTAAAGTATAATAAATGCAACACCTAAAGACCCGTTTGTGAAATATTTGAATAGACTATGCTTATAGGTTCATTTATAGGATTTTTTTTTTTTTTTTTGATGGGGGCCCGATTTGCGCGAAATACCCTGTATATCGGGGGACAAACCCTGCCCTCCAACGAGGCTTCCCACAGGTTGCTCCAATTCGTGACGCATGTTGGGAATATAATATAATGTTATGGTCCAGTCAGAGCGCATAAATAAATGCAGGTGTATTGGGAAAGGGGGGGGGGGGGGTCGTGAGCGAGCCTTAATCCACATAAGCAGTATTCAGTAACATGGAACGCTAGATAAGTGTAAAAAAAACTCCAAGCTCCGAATTTTTTTTTTTAATCTTTAAGGCAATGTATTTTTATTTTTTTTATTTTACAAAAGAAAAATGCGTTACCAGACTCAACGGCTGGTAAGAAATGTAAAATCGTCGGTTACATTTTCGTTATAGTCATGTCGCTTTCAAGTTTGGGCAGCGCCTCTGGTTAGCGAAACCTAATATTTCTTTATTGCGTTTCGCATGTGCGTCACTACGTTTTTTCACGTTTCTCGCGTTCGCTAAGCGGCCAAAATTACATTGTTGAGTATAAATTACTGAAAGTAAAAAAATAAAAGCCGTTTACAACTTCGTGTAACGCCGAATTAGAGCGCAGCTCTTGAGGAGGAGGAGGATGGGAAGGTACGGAGAGGATGCTATGCCCCTCCTCCTCTGCTCCCATTTAGTGGAAAGGTTTCCGCTAAATATAGCGGGGAAATTTTTCCGCTATATAAATTTTTTTCCGCTAAATTTAGCTGGGAAATTTTCTTCCGCTGAATTTAGAGGAGAAAATTTTTCTGCTAAATTTGGCCGGGAAATGTTTCCGCTAATTTTATCGGGGAGTTTTTTCCGCTAAATTTAGCGGGAATTTTTTCAACTAAATTTAGCGGGGGAAGTTGTCCGCTGCAGAGGCTGCAGAAAACAATTTTCCAAGTACAGCTGAAGCCTTTCCCCTTGCCGGAGCGTGTCGTCATATCCAGAGTTTTCCGAATCTCCTCTCTCGCATATCTTCAGCGTCTATCAAAGCTATGCACGCGCGATCTTTCTCTTTAGAAAGGTCAGAAAAAGACAGCACAACTGGTGTCAGTGCGGGGGAATATACCAGGGTAGAATGTAGCAACGGGTCGGAGGTTTTTCGTGTTTTCTCGTGTTTAATTACACCTTCGGGAAAAACAAACGTGATATTCAGATTCGTAGGATAGAAATACTGTAGAATTAACCTCTAACTCGATTTTTTCAATAACCTCTTCAGGTTCCCTTTGAGCGTTTTTTTTTATTGTTCTTTCCACCTCACACTATACAAGAGCATAGACAGATGCTGACTCTCGCTTGTAAACGAGCGTGGCATGTGCATGTTCGAACGGTGCAGGTCCGCTCCATATCCTCGATGCAAGCGTTACATTACCGCGTCTTCCGAACACGCTAGCTTCCCCTAACCGAGAGGAACAGGCCAATTCAGCTGTATTTCAAGAACACTGCCGTCGTGACGTGGCCGCAGCGTCGAAGGCTGCCCAGACATCAACGTGAAAGTTGTTTTCGAAGCCTCTTCGCCATCACACACGCGCCGGGCCTGACAAAACACGCATCCCAAAATCACTTCTAAAAGCTGCATGTAAGAATCATCTCCTGCTTCGCCCTAGCAGCTCAACCTTGTCGTCACTGCGGTTCATCTTCTCAGTCATCGTTGAATGGTCTAGACATCGCTGTTATACATGTTGTGCGCGCTTTGCAAGCTTCTTACACTGTCATTCACATTCTTATCACCTTAGAGCTATTTCTAACTGCTTCCGGCAGCTTCGATCCTGTTTCTGAGTTTTCGTTCAGAGGCTAACAAATCCGTACGCTAGCGTCCACACTTAGTGGGTTTTGGTTACGTGAAAGCCATAGGGCTCGCGCAGCGTGAGGGGCGCTTGAAAGCAAGCAGTAGCGACCGGAACCTGGTGATACGTCGCTTCGTTCTACCGAATTTGTGATTCGATGTTTAGCGTGTCGAGTTTAGCGTCTTTGTGTAAACGGGGTTTACCCGCGTTGACAGCTCTTGAGATACATCATCTGTAGTCATTGACAAAAACAGGAGAAGCAGGACTTTTTTTCGAACGCACTTCCTCTAGTACGCGCTTGTTAACTTCCGTCGTAACTTACTTGCGCTCGCGCACTCATGTGACGTCATAGCTTTATCGCGGTCGGAAGCTCGCTCTCGAAACCCCACAACTGAAAGGTCCTTCTTCCGTCCGCATCCTGTCAGTGTCTAAATACAAATGTGTATTCAGTTGCACGTACAAAATGTGCAATAAATCTGTATTGAAAATGCGGTGCAATGACCCTCATACTAGGTGGTGTTATATGACAAATTCAAATGATCCGACATTGATATTAGAAGTTTCCTTTTGTTACTTCACTTTTAGAAGAAAAAAGGAGGATTTTACTTTTACGTTTTTGTGTGAGGAAAAGAAGGAATAAGATTCCAGGGTTCTGCGTGTGCTGGAATTAAAAGGAAGCGCCCGCTTGGATACTTGTTTTTAGCCTGAATGCATCCTCAGGAATTTTTATTTTTTGGGAAATATTCCAGGTAGTTTCTCTGTGTATGTATATGTGTGTGGTTTTGGGGGAGGGGGGGGGCTTGTCTGTGTTTTGCTTGCGCTTGATTCCTCCGGGGTAACTGCATGAAACACCCATACCATTTTCCTGTAATATTGTTTGTGTGCTGGCATCTCGGTTGCTGAAATCAACCACAACCTTACCATTTATGCTACTTTTAAAATATCCTTTCTTATTGGCAAAGTCAATAAAGGCTAAAATCATCCAACCATTATATCCCACACATTTTTTTCTTAAATTGTTATTCATTTTGTTTTCTTTTCTCTCTCTCTCTCTCACACTTTCTTTGTGCACCCAGCCTTCGATCCTCCGGCCATGATCACCTTCAAGGACCCCATCGTCATGAAGCCCAACCTTAGCGGGAGCAACGGGGCCATCCTGGTGTCTGCTCATCCAAAGATGTTCATCCCGTCGCCGTCCTAACTGGAGGCCCCACGTGTGTGTACCGCCGCAGTTACCCGAATTGGTGCGAGCGCGAAGTATTTTGTAAATACAGATTTGAGGCTAGTCCACACCCTTGCTACTCCTTTCGACCGTGTGCCTTAAAACCTTTTAGCACGGGAGAACACACTGCCGCTATCTATCGGGTGGCAGTGGAACACTTGCACAAAATTGGACGTAAAGTGGGTTGGTAAAGATCAACGTTACTAGAACCACTCAGTTAGGAAACCGCCACAGAACCTGCTCTGAAAAGGTGGCGCCGATCCTTATCCCAGTACCGAGCTGATGGCTATCGCAGCGCTGTCATTTCTCCCGCAGCGGCCGCTCTGTGAACTGCACGGCGGCACTTACTGGTTCCGTCGTGTCACGGAAGGGCCAGTGGTGCCATCTCGCAGGGCAACCTTTCGCTATAATAAGAAAAGTTCCATGGTACCCTTATAGATGGCGACAGCGTGCCAGTGAGTTTTATTTTCGCTGAAAAATTTCGCAACAAATTGCTCATCAGCAAACGACAGTGTGCGAAAAGGCCTCAATACATCAGCGAGTCTGAAATTTTGTCATTTATTATGTGGAAATATATGTAGAAAAATGTGTATTTTGCTTAATTTTTCTTCGCGCAGACGGTAAGGAATGTTTTAGAGCGCAGCTCTTAAGGGCCCGTTCGCGGCTTGAGCGGCGTCGGCGTCGGCGTAACCAAGGTCATCCCAAGGTCACGTGGCCCCAAGGTCTCCCCAAGGTCACGTGACCCCCAGAGGTCACGTGACCCCTCCCTCAGGGTCACGTGACACCCAAAGTCACGTGACCCCCCGAGGTCACGTGACCCCCTCCCCCCCCCCGAGGTCACGTGACCACCCCCCAGGGTCGCGTGACCCCCCGCCAAGGTCACGTGACCTCCTCGATGACGTCATCGTCACTGATGACGTCACCGGCATCCGCATCGTCATCGTCATGATCACTGATGACGTCATCAGTGACGTCACTGATGACCTCACCGGCATCCGCATCGTCATCATCACGGATTACGTCATCAGTGACGTCACTGATGACGTCACCGACATCGTCATCGTCATCATCGCTGATGACGTCATCGGAGTCCTCATCGTCACTTATGACGTCATCAGTGACGTCACTGATTACCTCACCGGCATCCGCATCGTCATCATTATCATCACTGATGACGTCACTGGCATCCGCATCGTCATCGTCATCATCACGGATGATGTCATCAGTGACGTCACTGATGACATCATCGGCATCGTCACGTGACCCCCCAAGGTCACGTGACCCCCCCCCCCCAGGTCACTTCACCCCCCAATACCCTTCCCTCCTCCTCCTCAAGAGCTGCGCTCTAATTCGGTGTTACAGGGAGTTGTAAACGGCTTTCACTTTTTCTTCTACCTTTACATGAGGTCGTACTGCTCACTCCTGGAAATGCGTCCTTATTGAGATCAAAAATCGTTAATTTATTACCGTCGCAAATGCAGGCTGCCTAGTATGACTACGTGTCCAAACATGCATCGAAATATATTAACTTCATGTTATTTGTGTACATTTAGATTGTTCGGAACTCTTATCCACAAGCTATTTAAAGGGGCGGTGCAACGGTATTCAATTGGAATTTTTTTTTTTTTTTTCACTTTACACGAGCTCATTGGCACTAGTGGGACTCAAGGATACTCGCACGCAACGGCACTGACCAAGAAACTCCTTTGTTGCGCTGCAATTTCGAGGACAAAGCCGAGATTTTTCATTCAATCTCTCCTTCGCAAAACCTGATGACGTAGCCGGGCGGTAGCAGTACCGCCCACTGACGATATTCGAATGCGGCTCATAGATTGGACCCGAGCATGGCGTGGACACTCGATTTGGGCTCGCGATAATCGATAGCTCGAGAAGCATTCGGGTAGTGTCCTGTGTCCAATCGCTGCAATGCCGACAACAGCCGAACCATAACAATGTCTGGAACTCAGCGCGTGTCCTGTGCCTTGCCAACCCCAGCGCGTGGCTATGATCAACACTGGCGGCATATAATCGGCTCCAGATCACGTGGACGCTTGTTCTGGCTGCGAGTTGAGGGGGTGAACGCCTCTCGTTTTTCTTTATTTTTTTCTGCGACTTCAATTGCGTGTGGTGAAAAACGAACGGGTATTTCACAGGTCATTAACGTCAGGGATCCGTTCTAAGCTGTATTCGCGCAAAATACAAAAATCGTTGCATCGCCCCTTTAAACTTACCCACTAAAAATTACCGATTCGGCTTGTTTTAAGTAATAAACATGGCGGCCCTAAAGCGCATCACCACGAGTAGTCTTAGGCTCGTGACCTCAGTTTCAGTAAAGCCTTTTTTTTTTCCATACGGGATTTTTTCAACTTTTGGGGTGTTATAACAAAAGCAATCCTCATTAGGTCCCTCGTAGGCGAAACCTCTCAGCAATATTTACTGTTCGGTATAGTCGCTGAATGGTCCCTGAGTATAAAAAACTCTAAACTATTTATAAATGCAGGCCTGCAGCAATTTTAGCAAGGGCGATTTGATACACTCCGCTTGCAGCGGGAAAACCGACGGGCATTATCCTTTTTGGTTGAATAGGTTCGAGGCTACTTCATATAGAAACGCCTAACCAAAACCAGCGCCCGTATTACCATCTACCCGGTCATTATACAGCAGCTGTTAAGAACTTCCCCGTAAGCGTTTTAGATAATGTTTTCTTTTTTTCTGTTCCCCAGGTGTCAAGCTCGCTTGCATCGGCGAGTACCAAAACGCGATAAACTAGATTATTAGAGCGCAGCTCTTAAGCGCCCGTTTCCGGCTTGAGCGGCGTCGCCGTCGACGTAACCGCGCGGTGCATTGTAAGACGCATGATGTCACTGATGACGTCATCAGTGACGATGACGTCCTCAGTGATTATCGTCATCGTCACGTGACCTCACAGAAGTCACGTAATCTCCCGTAAGGACACGTGACCATCGTGAGGCGACGGCGACGCCGCTCGGAGGGAGTATTAGCGGACAGGATGAGGAGGTGAGAGGGAGGGACGAGGGGTATACCCTCTTCTCAGTATCCTTCCCTCCTCCTCAAGAGCTGCGCTCTAATTCGGAGTTACAGGGAGTGGTAAACGGCTTTCATTTTTTTTTATTTCAAGACCATTAAATATATATGCGATATCTTGTTAAGAACCGGTGTCTCTATAGTCACTGAAAACTGAAAATATACAGGGTTTAGCTTATTCTGTTAACATGTCTTGGTCCGACGATTCTTCCTTTAGCGTTCTTATGGGCAAACGAGGAGACCTTAATTGTTTGCGGAGCGACCATAAGGTGCTGATGGATCGTTTGTCATAGCATTCCTTTCTTAAGATGTCCGTGACTACAGCCTTCGGTACCTGGTTTCCTCATGACCCTTATAAATTAGAACTGACGTGTTGTCGAATATGTTTTTCAGGCATTTCAGCCAAACTGGGCAACCAGCCCCGATCATCGCCTTCTTGGCAGACACACTTTGGCGCCATGACGAACGACAGCTCAACCCAGGTATGTACGACAGCTCAAGATATGTCTGTACAACTGCTCAGCTGTGTCTACGACAGAGCTATGACTGTACGACGACTGTTCCATGACTGTGCCACGGAGAAAACCTTGGTGGTGCCCCGCCTCAAGCTATATTTATATGAGGACTCAAGCCGTGCCACGGCTTAAGCCATGACTTTAAGACGGCCCAAACCACGAAAATTTCACGATTCAAGTCATCACTGTGCCATGGTTCAAGACATAGCTGCACGACGGCTCAAAACACGACTGTTCCACTACTCAAGCCATGACCTCTCCATGGATTCAGCCCTGTCTGTGCAACTGCTCGTGCCATGACTGTTCGACGGCTCTAGCCATGACTATGGCACGTCTCAAGCAATGACTGTGCCATGGATGAAACCAAGACTGTTCTACGACTGAAGCCCTGTCTGTAGAACGGCTAAAGCCGTGACTGTGCCAGAGTCCGAGTCGTGTCCGTATGACGGCCTGTCGGAGAAGCCGTCGACTGCTCAAGAATGGTGTCGGATTGTGTTATGTCTCAGTGGTGAGGTCTGGACGCCGTATAAACCTCGATGTGACTCGAAGGCACGCTTTCAAAGGCACACACAATATTGTGAGAGACGCAGTAAGGTGGCGAATACCTCCTCCCACATGGAGAAGCACCCAATACAGGAGTTCGTGTAAATACGCATAATCGTCGATTTCTCCGGGCAGCCGGAGTGCGTCCTGGGAGGTTACTGGGGAACGTGGGGGACCAAGAAAGCCAACAATACTCGTAACCTTTTTTTTTCTTTTGTGAACTTTGGAAAGTGTGTATATACAGTGGTTGAGTTTCGGACTACTAGGCAGGCTTCGTGCATGGGAAGCACGTTCAGTCTAATTCTTGTTTTCGGCTGAAGATGTGTGCCTAAGGAAGAAATTCAAGAAAGATTGTTGGTTATAATAACTTAAGCGAAAAAAGAAAAAAAAGTATGGAACAAATAAAAAAGGTAAGCTTGTCGGCTTTTTTTTTTTTAAATGTGTTTGTAAAATGCTTTGTTTAATCCTTCGAGATATAGAAACATTGCAATGCCTGCCACCATTCAGTATTTGAATTGATGATATTCTGGAAGGATTTATCCTGAGAAAATTTTCGCATTCAGAAGGTGCTCAGACGAGCTGCTGAGGAGACAAGAGAGTGAGGTTCGTTACAAAAAGAGCAAATAAAACTCGAACAAACGAAACGGGTGTGATATTTTCAATTACGTACACAGTGACCTTTTTCTGACCCACAATATCTTACCTCAAGTTCGCAGAGGCAAAGCCACAGCAAAAAATATATTGCTGGACGACTTCTGACCTCGTCCAGCAATCGTTGCTGCCGGGTATTCTAAACGCTACAGTTGCACGTTCGAAGCACCGTAGTGTCGCTTTCTGCGACGCTACAACGTTTTACCCTAAACTAAAGCCACCGACACCGTAAGAAACACGGGGGAATACGAGTCCCAAAGGATTTTATCATTGCTCTGCAGTCAATGCCATTGCGGCGTTTACCGATAAGAAGGCCCAAAAACAAAGCAGGAAGCAAGACGCATGAACATTATCCGGAGCGCAAGTTCGTCTGCTTCTTGCACAGGGGTTGCAATGATGTCAGAACGCCGAGCTCTTATTGGCTGATCGAACAAAAATAGTGGGTAGACCTCAAGGCGTCCACTATTGAGGTCTACCCACTATCCTTTCAATCAAAGCCAACCAAAGCCCAATATCGTTTTGACGTCACCGCAACTCCTGTGCTAGAAGCAGACGACTTTCTCTTTGCATAGGCCACGCCTCGCGTTTCTTGAGGTGTCAGTTACTTCGACTCATCTCGCGAGAGCACGTGACTCCAACAGTATGGGCCAGCGTTACCCCACCTTGTTCTTCGACCGTGCCCCGCCGCGCTCAGCTACCACCCCGCTCTTCTACCACTCAGCCTCCGGTGAGGCTCGACCACTTTTCCTGGTAGAAAAAATTGGAAAGCCCCATCACGTGACCGGGTTGGTTAGACGACGACGTCCCCTGCACTCCGTTTGTCAATAAGCTGAATGTGCGGGGGCAGCTGTACACTCGTCGAACCAATTAGCGCGCCTGCCTTTGATCACCTGACGCCGCTCTCTGCGCGTCGGTAGCAGTGTTGTGCACGTTCCCCCTAATGAAAAGCGAAAGCTCGTTCCTTGTTTGTTTGTTTTTCTCTCAATCTTGGAACGGAGTTTTTGTTTCAAGTTACAACGGTACGAAATTAAGACGTCCCCGTTATATCTTTAAGATGGAAATTGCCAGTTACTTTAAATATAAATCGGCGTGATTTAATGAAATATTCTGTTGGTAATGCGTAAATAAAATAAAGAAAGGAAGTAAAAATATCCACATAGAACTAAGTACGTGTTGCCAAAATCACATATGTTCTAGTTTTTTTTTTTTTTTTCCTACTATCTTTAGAACATTGCAAGTCGGAGGTTGAAAGAGTCAATAATAAGCTGCCTAAATTCCTGCTCAATTCTGGTAATATTGCGGACATATAGATAAAACATAACGCTGTTCCCTAGCGTTCCTTCGAAAACGTAGTGAGATCCCGTTCCAGCTCCGCAGATGCACAATGGAACGGTGGCGTTCTTCTGTTCCTCTTAAAATTAACACGTTCGACGAACGTCGATGTTTCGAAACCCGTTCTGTACAACACTGGTGGGTGAAAACGGGAGGGAGATCACGTGGCAAAAAAAAAAAATGGACGCATGGCTGCGAACGATCATGTAGTATCTACCGCATGGTCACTTTAGGCGTAAACACGTGATAAAACAGCGCACCTCTGTCAGAATTGATGATGTAGCAAACGTTGGACGCCTGACTGCTAACGACCATGTAGCGTCTACGGCACTGTCAGTTGAGGAGTGAACACATGATAGGACAGCGCACCTCTGTCATAAGTAATCACGTGGCAAAAGATGGACGCATGGCTGTCGACGAGCATATAGGTTCTACGGCACTGTCAGTTTAAGCGTTAACATATGTTAGGCAGCACAGCTCAGCGCCAGAAGCTATCACGTGGCAAAAGATGGACGCATGGTTTCCACCGTGCATGCAGGTTTTATGGCACTGTTAGTTGAAGCGTGGACACATGATAGGGCAGCGCACCTCTGCCAGAAGCTATCACGCGGCAAGATCATCACCCCTAGAAACCTGGTTACGAAGCCCCCGGTGTCAATTACAGTTCTAAAACCTACTTAGGCAAATATGACATGTTCCTTGTCATATTTTCCTAAGTAAGTTTTAGGAGGTTGCAGGTTTCAGGAAGTTGCAAGGAGTTGCCAGGCCGCATAAAGAACAGACTTCCGAAAACAATATTCACCCCGGAGTCTTCACCGCAAACTAAACTGCGGGGCTTCAACTGGCAAAAGGTTAACCATTATGCACAATCGATTAAAAAAAAAAAAATCTCGAGACCACAAAGTGACAGACACAAGATATTGCCCGCATTCAAAGAACGCACACAGTTTTCTCTATTAAAATTTTCGAAATGAGTTTCTAACATTCAAATGAGATAGCGTCAAGCTCTGAAACTGACATTTTATCTCAATCGATGTGGCGTCTGTTGGGCACTCTCTGGAATATACTTTCGCGGTATGAAAACGCGGTTCGACTCACTCTGGAGAACCTGTATTTATTTTTGCGGACTCAATTTACGCGCAGATGGATGCGCGAGAGGGTAGGGATTTAAGCTTTACATTTTTTTTTCCGGTTTCCTTATCAGGTGACGTTTAAACAAAGGCATTCTCAATCACGTTTCACTTTCCGATCGCAGCCAACGCTTCGATCCAATGAAGTCACTCAACAGTTTAAACTAATCACGCATAAAAGAAACGCAAAATTACTGCGCATGCGCTGTACGTGATTGGTTAAGCCGCTGTTAGCAAACGCATAAAGACGACGTGCGCCGAGACGACTCACTTTTAGCTGTGTTTGGCTCCATCGGGTTTTAGCGTTGACTGTAGGCTCGGACATTTTGTGAAGCGGAATATGCTTACGCAAGTTCGTCCGCTTCTTTCTGAGGGGTAATTCTGGTGACGTCAGAATAACGCGGAACTCCGATTGGATCTGATTGAAGGGTAGTGGGTGAACCTCGAGGCAGCTTGCTTTGTGGTCTACGCGGTGTCCTTCGATCGGAGCCAATCAGAGCCCGGTGTCGTTCTGACGTCACCGCAACTCCAGCGCAAGAAGCGAATGACTTGCTCTTCGCATAGCTGACTGGTCGGCGGTTCCGAGCTGCCGAGTTATTCCACCTTCCTTGGCGCACGTTAATTCGTCGGTTCTCAAACGACAGTTTGTTCGGTGTCAGTAAACTCGCAGTTCTGAAGTTGCCCTCAACTTATTTTTTAACACGTAAATTACAGACGGAGGGTACTCAGTGAGTAGCGGTGCTTAAAAACACAAGAAACTGAGTCTTCTTTAGGGGATAAACCCCTGTATGCTGCCAGACTCGTCTAAACCATGGAAGCCTAAACCCCTGTATACTGAACCGTTGAAGCCTGTCAGATGGGCAAAAAAACGACACCGCCGTAAACAAACAAAGCAAAAAGGAGGAGGAAGAACGGCGCACGCAAGAGGCAACAAGAGGTAACCAAGGTAATACAGTTCTTTCTGCCGAAGTTTGGTCTTGGTCTGCGAAAGTTAGGACTTCAAAAATTCCGAAGATGCCAGGGTAAAGCTAGTGCCACTACATAAGCCAAGCTTCAGAGTAACTACACTTGCCTATAATGTGGCTTAAAATCATGGTTGCCAGTTATCTGAAACTTTACATGAAATCTCAAGAAACGCTTTTTCGTCTTCCAGAAAATTTTTAAACAGTTCGTTACAGATAAAAGCTGGATTGCATGAGCTTCCTAACACCAAAACTAATGCTGACGAAGTCGCATTTTTGAATCAATGTACGAGCGGCAGTTGCGTCTGCCATGCACAAGCACCAAGATGGCGGCGCCCCGGCAATAATCGGGAAACAAGGTGTGGATACTGTGAGCTTATTTAGTGGCTCTGTAGTCTATTCTAAAATACCGGCCAAACTCGAGCAATTCGCGTAGCGGTCATTTGCGAAGCGCGCTCTTCATATGCTATGGTGTAACAGTATATTGGTCCTAATCCACCAAGCAAGTGCCAAAATTAGGTAGGATCACCGCAGCTCGGAGCACGCGGAGTGAAAGCTTGCGCTGCAGAGCCCATGAAAAGAGGGTTCGATCCCCATCCCTGACCGTTTCGATCTGAATGAGAATCATATCGGCGTGCGGTCGCGTATCGCTTGTGCGTGGTGAACGGCAAAGATCCCACGCCATACTTCGTCTTAAGTTACGACGAGCCGCAAAGGGCGCTACGAGCCAGCGGAACCAATTCATAGCTCGAATATTGTCACGTGTCTTTCCGGTTGGGCGCAGCAACGCGGGGAGCGCGAAGTCACGAGACAAGGTATATTGGCTCGTGTAGCGTGTAGCGTCCATTGCGCTACATCGTAGGGTGAAACGTGATATAGTGTGGCTGACATCTGACATCTTTTCGTTCAAGTCGCCAAACAAGTGCCAAAGTTAGGCTTCACTACTGGTAGTTTGACTGTTGTTTGGCATCTAGCGGTCGAAATCGCCAAACAAAATCCAAAGCTAAGCTTTAGTTCTATTTTTTTTTTAATTTCTAATGTGCCAACTTTGACTCTAAATTGCCAAACAAGATCCAGATTTAGGCTTCACCGCTGGCTGTTCGGTTTTGTACCTGACAACTTTATCTCAACTCTGGCATTGTGGATATTATTCGATTTAGAGAAAAGCCATAGAAACAACAAGAAATTACTCTTAAATTAACTAAAACCTTGAAACCGAACCGCATTAAGCCCACGTTAGGCCACTAGGGTTACCAAACTTGGGGCCAGGCTTTTTTCTGACGTGTTGTCTTAAAGACGAGCATCTATTTTATTT